ATATTTCAAAGTTACTTCAAGTTAATTGTGTGAATTCATACCATACTATTCTTTGTCATGAAGAAATTGCTAAACTAAGTGTTAGAAAACTTGGTAAGATTCATTCTTCAAATGCYAGACTCCAAATAGAATGTATAAATAAATACTTGAGATGCTCCTTAATATAATAGTCAAACATTCATGAAACTTTTAAATATTAAATCTATAGAATTCATAGAAACTTTAACTAATGTTTCCATTATTATTAATTTGGAACGTTTTATTATATGTGCATTTTTAGGTTTATTATTTTTGTTTGCAACTGATGCCTACCCAATTTATTTTAATATAATTGTTTTTATCAATAATTGATGTAAGTAATATTTTATGAAAAATTTATCAAGTTAGTTATACAAGTTTATGCATCATGTGTTGATGTTTTGCTTATAGATTATAATYATTTTTATTCTTAAGCACTATAAATTATGTATGTTTCATTTAATTTAAATATTATTACTTTATTAAAGCCATATCTTTAGCGCATAGTATTTAATTAATAATTTTCTTATGTATTACTTAATACTTTAGTTCTCTAACTAAGTATTAGAATAAAGAACTAAACAGTGTGATTTTTTAAGTATGCTAATTCTATTTTTATTGGTAAATTATGCATATACATAAAATTCAGRTTTTTGAAATTTTTAAATACACTTGAAGACCATTTTTYGAATCATTGGCATTTTTTGTTCCAATTAAGTTAAGTCTTTTGATAAAACAAACTTCAGTTTTTAAAATAGGAATTTACCTATTTATTTTTTTTATTAATAAGCAGATTTCTATTTGAGAATCTAGAAGTATCTAAATAGAAAAATTCAAGCTATTAGTTTTTGAGTTATGTCACTTTGTGTTTTAAGGATATTTCTATGGTAATGGGTATTGTAGATAGGGAGCTTTATCGATTTGAAAAAGTTAGCAATTAGTAATTACTATTGATTTATCAATATAAATAATCTGTAAAAATAATCCAAGTATAATAAATATTAGTTATATCTAACATTATAATATATAGTTTTTATTTTAYCAAAATCTTTTTTAGGATTATTACCCATAGTATAAACATTTAATTAACTCAACTAACAACTCATTAGAATTTTGATTTAGATACATCAAAATTTAGAAAAAAATTATYCGCTTAATAATTTTTTATTAAAAGAGGGRGGGGGAGGTTCTCATTTGAAAAATAGAAGTTGGTATTGCCACAAGATTATCCTTAAGTAGTACAAAAAAATCAGAAATTTGAAAATATGGTCTTTAAGTCTACTTAAAATTCTAAAAACCTCAATTTGAATAAATGTACTATTAAAGAGAAAAATTGAGGTGAGCATGCTTGAAAATCACCCAGTATAATTTTGAACATTTACAAATAAGTTATATCACCAAAGACACCAAATGTTTTGATCTTTTATACATAATACATTCTGCAGCAGCTACTTATATAAGATTTTAAGCGAAGACAACTTCCTGCACAATTAGGGATAATATTTTTGTTTGAACTTTAAAATGTGAACCCCAAACAAAGAATATATGCTTGGACATCTTTTGAGTAATGTAAAGAAATTGTCAGTGATTACAGAGTCAATATTAACTTAAATGAACAATTTAAAAATATTGTCTTATGGTAAGTGAACGACATATTAAATACAGATACACTTGTACAGTATACACTATAGAGACAACTTAACTTTTGAATACCTTGATTTTATATGATTTTAATGTACAGTCCAACAGTACATACTTTATCAGGTATTTGTAGTAGACTAACTAGTAATAGCAATAATATATATTAAAATAAATTCAATTCAATTGTTTTTCAAGTCTTTTATTTCATTGGAAAAATTACATAACTAAGACATAGTATAAAACAACAATAAAAAGTAGATTACAGATGTAGTTCAGCAGAATTTTAGGCTAAAAACAGTTATAAATTGTATAATCAACATTTTATTTCATAAAATAATTCATACAAACACTTAATTAACTTAGAAGTTATTTAATATTATTATTATAATCTAGAGTACAACATTTATGGATTAAATTATATGACTAAAACATTATATTACAAGATAGAAAAAAAAATATTAATTATTCGTTTAATCTAATAATTAAGTATGGTTTATTAAATAAAAGTACCTATAATAACTTTATCCAATATTGTTGATTATATTGTGGTGTTTATCAATTAACTACAAACAGTAGGTATTAAAACTACATTATTATAACTAAACATAAATCATTAATATTTTAGAATAGTTTTATTCTTAAAAATAATGATTTTATACTGTGGATTATAGAATATAAAGCTTGTATTAATGTCACATATTTTTTTTTTAAGTTCCATAAATATATTATAAATAACATACTATATGAATATTAATATATGATAAAAATATGTTTGATATAATGTAGACTTTGATTAACATACATATCACATATTAAGTGTAGTAAATATAGTAGACATACTAAATAAAAAATGTTATCTATTTAAAATTGTAAAACATATTAATTATTAAATATGATTTTAAATCCAAAAAGTATATGAATATATGTGATCTAATATACTATAAAGATACTACTCTAATACCTTTAATACCAAACACAATAAAAATAGCTTTTATACATGATAATTAATTATGTTTTAGGTATATATTTTACAATATTACAATAGGTACTACAAATTTTGTTTTGCTGTAACTTAGTAAGAATAAAATATATCCAGGTCAAAGCATACATAGGTATTATCATCATATTAATCATCATAGACAATATGTGATTTATACTCAACAATAATTTCAATTTAGGCTTATTTAATATAAGTATAAATGTTGATTTTAGGGAATTACAAACATAAAAATAGGACAATACCATCAATACCTAGTGAAATAAAAAWTAAAAATAAAAGTATAATGAGTGTCAGGAGAAGAATTAAATTCAGTGGAAATCAAAACAATTATTGGATAATTTTAAAGAGAAAAATGTAAACAAGCTATGGAAATAAAACTGGGTACATATATAATTTTAATCAGAATTTGATAATACATATAACAACTTGTTGAAAAATACTATTCGTTATTACTTAAGTTTGCTAAAATACAGTTTGTCTGGATACATTTATAAAATTAAATTAAAATATGAAAATCATTTATAAACAGTTTTTTGATATACTGATTTATATTGTTTATAAAAAATAGATTGGCATTCAGGTATTTAATTAGAACTTGGGATTTGTTATTTTAGTATGACGGTTTTAATGGAAATCTAGAGTATTACAAAAGTTTTGACCTGAATGGTGGTAAAGTTCTAAAGTATTTTCTTGTTCAGGAAAATTAATTGTATTTGTTTTTGGATCTATAGGGTTTTCACTAGGGCTAATGACTGGTACAAGTTGTTTGTTACAATTGGTATTTTGATTACTTTCTGGTTTAGGTGAGTCTATAACAAATTTTTTTAATGTTAAAACTTTTTCTACTTGTAATTTTCTTGGAGGTAAAGGTGGAGCTATTTTTCTTAWTGGTATAGGTGGTTTGAATGATTCATTATCTATTTTACTCATTCGAGGTGGAACTGGAGGAACATYGTTATTTTTTCTTAAAGTAAAAGTTACTGGCGCAAAGACAGAGTCACCTGGATATCTTTTATATGTTTGAATCACTGGAGACATTGATGAACTTACATTTCTCTTACCTTGGACATCCATATTTTTGGWGGATACTGATGGTACTCTTGATTTAGGCTTTAAGCCAGGTGACCTAAGATTTAATTCTGGCCATTTTCGTGGATACTTGGTGAGTTGCTTGCAATTTCTTGGTTCAATTTTTAAAGATTGATTATACAAATAATTATTAATATCTGTATCTTTCATATCATTGAATGGATTTAAGTTTTCTAAAAACTTTTTTATTTTAGGCTCAACATTTAAACAGTAAGGTTGATTTTGATATTGCTGGATTTCTTCAATAATTTCTGCTACTTTTCTCCGTTTATAAAAATTAATTAAATTTGGGTTATTTGTCAAACAATCTGGATTGCCATCTTCAATATGCAATATATTTGTTAAATACATACCAATGAATGGAACACATGGCGGATTGATACTCCTTAATTTATCTTGATATTTTTTATAATGATTATTACTCATATCCCGAGCTTTTTCAAGAGCTTTAAGAAATTTAGCATTGATGGATTGCATTGTAAATTTTAAGCGAAATACTGCAGCTGAAGTCATAGCTGAAAGAACACCTAAGACACCATTGAAATTATTTAGTTGATATAATGCCATCATTATTTCAATAAATCTTGACACAATTGCTACTCTTTCTTCAATATTTCTACATTCAATAACAGTTTTTTCTATCCAACGACTTAAATTTGTAGTTTGTTTGATTAACCGAAGTAAATTAGGAGAATTTTTTTCTTTATCTTTTTTAGTCCACACAGATCCAACCAATTCTGAAGGTTTAACTGTTCTATAATTTTCAGATTCAATAAGTGTCAATTGTCTTGCGAATTCAAGAGGATGTACAAGTAGAATGTTAAGCTCGTCATTTCTCATAAAATCCATATRAACTTCAATTGCTGGTGGCGGTGAATTGAATGCAAACTTAATTTCATTTTGATGTTCAGTAGTTTTTCTATGAAGTATATTAATAAGTGAATCAGCCCATTTTTTGATTGATTTTCCATTAATTGAATTTAAAAATTTAAGCAATCTATCTAATAAATATGGATAGCGTTGATAATCATAATAGTGATAAATGACCCAAAGCCTAAACACATTTATCACTCTAAATTGAACAGGTTCTAAATATTCTGTTTTAAATCGTTTAGTTTCATCTCGAAGACTTTCTGAATTCATAGTTATACCAAAAGGCTCAGGAATGTTATATCTTTCAATTAAGAGATCCATTAAATCATAGGGTGTACAAAAACTGCGGTATATTGTTAAGAATGTTTTTATAAATTTTGGATCAGCATAAATATGATATGTCATTCGTTCTATAAGTTTCAGCAATTTAGCACCTCTAATAAGAGGTACACCATTATTTTCTTTTTGCTCAAAAATGATGTTAGATCGAGAATCAGGTTCAACAAATCTGTATTCTTTAATTGACGGTAACCATAAGGGAAATTTTTTATCTTCATCGAGTAGTATATTGTTTAAAGTTCGGTCGAGTATACTTTTTGTGTTCAGCATAATTAAATCTGCCATCCAATTAGCTTTATCTTCAAAACTACTAGCAGCTAATATTACTGGTGACTGCAAATGAGGGATTATTTCAAAAAAGTGTTTTAACTCTTGTGTATCATCTCTATCAACAATTTCCATTTTTCTAATAAATAATTTCTCTTTTAATTTTAATTTTAATTCAGAAAAACCACCAATAACTTGAGTGCTGACTGATAAAGAAATCTTTCTCTTATTTGATTTACATAAAAGAAGAACTCCATCAAATAAGATTGCTTTACGCTCTGAATAACGCTTACCTCCACTTGAAACTTTTAYAAGTACTCCTTCTCTTATGAACTCTGTACAACATTGACCCATATCCTTACCATCCCAGCCATCAATACCTTTTTGCATTTTTTTCAGTTGTTCAATGACTGTTAATCGTCTAGGTATTGCATTAATTTTAAGTCCAAATTCTTTAATATTATCTGTTARGTTAATTTGATTTGCAATTGATGCCATTTTTATTTGCAAAGGTTTCAACATGCCTTCTACTTGTTCCAAACATTCTTTATCATGTTGGGAAGGAGAAAGTTTATGGAAAATTCTAAAATAATCAAAATAGAGAATACAATGATGTAGAGGTAAAAGTAATAATTTTGGAAAATAATATTTTAGAGCTTCTTTAAAACCATAATTTGTCGATTGAAGTAAATTYGAAATCTCTGGTTTATTGATTAAATTCCAAAATATATTCCTACATGATTTATTAACAATATCATTTGCATACCGTTCAAATACGTCAAATTCAGCGGATTCAGCAAACTCTTCAATACAACAACCAACTGTAGCAGATTTAYYATCTGCAATTTCCAAAATGTCTTCAATAGAACTTAAAAATAATTTAGTTGTCTTAAATATGTCTACAATATTGTTGAACATATTATCCAATTCTGGACTGGTACCTAGGGGTATGATACAATAAAATTCTTCTTTAAAAATTTTTAAAATTAAATATAAATCTCTAATAAGTTGTTTTTCATCATGTATTAGATCTTTTACAACTTCTTCATAAGTAGTAATTCTCTGGATTTTATCAATACCTAATTCAGACAGGTTTAAGTCACCATTGTTGTCGTGCTGACCGAACAAGTCCATTAATACTTTATCACCACGTATCGCAACACAGAGGTCTTGGTAACTGATTTCTACTCGGTGTATATTATTTACATAGTTACCTGCTAATTTAAAGATGTCTGCTGCCATGTATTCTAAGACAGCTGTTATGTAAATAGTAACTAAATAGTCTAGCTTGTATYGAAGTAGATCCTTTTGCAGTAAATTATGAATTTTATAGGTTGGTAATATTAGAGAATGTTTTTTCTTGTCTTTTTCTATTGCTCTTTTTGCATCTTTAATAGCCCACTTGTCTATTGGCTTAGGAAACCACCGTTTCACTTGATCTTCTATGTCGAATATAGTATGCGGTGGTGATGACTTTAAAGTAAGTATCTCCAGACACTGTATAACTAGTATTTCGACACATTCTAACGCTTCGTCGCTGACTGATAACAAAGGATGTACTTGCTTGACGACCTTCGTTAACGATCCAATCAACAGACCCTTCCATTTGTTTGGATTACTTTGTATACATACAAATTTTTCGATTTCCGCTTTGGGGAGCGATTTGGAAGCCATTTGCAGGCCAAAAAAAAAAAAAAAGATTTACTTACCAAAATACCAAATCGCCTAGCTAACTTGTATAAAAATATAGAACAAATTAAATTTCAAAATAAATTACATGTTTATGCATATTCACTGTTAATTAATTTTTGAAACATTTCAAACAAACAATTTGATTCAATTAMACAATTTGTACAGTCTTAGTCATTCATAGATAAATAAATAAGTGTAGTCATTGTTGATAACATTGTTATCTACAGATTTTTTTAAATATTATACTTCGTGATTGTCATGGAGTGAACGGTAACTTCTAACGTTTTCTCCATCTGGCGCGACTGGCTTTGGTCATATAAACACTTAAAATCGGGTTACCAAACGGAACACAATAAAATGTCTAACCTAAAAAAATCAATACAAACAGACGCGGCTGGAAACTGCAGCACTAGCGCTTACATGCTATAGTGAATATAATCGCGGTTACAGTTCAAATGCAAATTATAGTGGTGTGTATAGTCACTATCACAATCAAGCGCTGTTGCTGTAGCTGTTAAATAAATATTGATTTCGGTCATAGATTTCATCAAGCGCGTACACAAGAAGGGTTTTAGGGGTTCTACTCCTTCCTCCCCATCGCATTTTCTTGAAAATGATTAAATATGCTTTAATAAATTAAAAGTGAGAAAATGTATAACCTTAGACTCCCCCTTCCTCCCACAAATCTTAAAATATTTATTTATGTGTGCACCTACACCGTATACAACGATTTGTTATTTAAAGAAAGCTTTTAATACAATATATTATAAATAAATATTATTAGGCAGAGCCGTAGAGCATGAATGGCTGGAGAGGTTGGGTGGAACGGTGACGACAAATCGGCAAATCGCATTACCAGTGTTCAGTGATGCCATCACAATTATTAAATTATTCACACACGTTTTCCATTCGACATGTTATTTTACAATATGTACCTATTTCACTCATAGACCTTATATTATATTATAACTAAAACTGTTGATTTACTGATTTACAATTACAATTACAAGGTACCATGGGCGGATAGGCCTACCGGGCTACCGGGCATTTCCCGGTGGGCCCCCCTTCATATTTCGGTATTGGGCCTTTTAATATCATGTACCAATATTACATATTTTCCATGCAGGGGCCCCTTTTAAAATTTTCCGGTAGGCCAAAAATGACCTATCCGCCCATGCGAAGGTATCTACTTATTAGAAATATTGAAATATTCATTAAACATGATAAACATATAACATAATATCTATGATACAAAAATAATTACGTATTGATGCTTTAAACGTACTACAGTTACAAGATTACGCAAAAACTAAGTAGTGTGGTCTACCAACATTCGCAGTACTATGGAACATCACATCGATCAGCGTCACCCACGTTCACCGGGGGAACTACCACCATACTCTGTCAACTGTACAGGCCATGGGTTTCCAACCTACGGCTGTTAAAATATTACCATTTTGCATAAAAATTAAAACTATCAATTATTATTTTAATATAACAATAGTTTAATCTTTTTTAAGTCAAAAATATTTATAATGTTTAATTATTATCACATGCATAAATGTTATGAATTAATATTTTTATACAAGAAAAGACTTCTATAATATAATGTTCTCTGTTTAATGAATTTATGCATTTATTTAATGTACATATATTTAATACAAGTTCTGTCATAACATCTATTCAAAAATATTTAAATCTTATACCATTAATATCATCATTTAAAGTAGTTATAGATTTATTTGGTGAACCTACCTACACATATTTAATACAGAAAAAATTAAAATAATTGAAACGGCAGTTTTTATAATAAATAATATACGAGTACTTATAAAATCATGGTTTTTTCTCTCTGTATGGATCAAATAAGAACCTACTCAAAAATATGAAAAATTAAAATTAAAATTAGCAACATGAAAATTTGTGCTTATTTTTATTATTCTTTAATACTTTATGATAGATACCTACCTACTCGTATATTCTGGAAATAAACGAAAATTCCATGATAAATAATAAATTTTTTCGGTTGATTTTTTAGATTATAAACGTAGTGAGGAATGTATTAATTTAATAAATTGAAATTGAAAATCGTATATGGCAACGCCATCTATCTAGGAAATTGAGCAGCTGTGGTGGCTAGTTCTTTAAGTACGGATTAAAGTTCAAAATGATTTTGCATCAATAGATGGCGCAGCTGTTATCGTATTAATTTAAATCTTAATAATAATACACTGTTGGCCAACGCTGTTAGCGGCGTTAGGTTAAATTAAACCTCACTAAACCTAACCAAACCTAACCAAACCTCACTAAACCTCACTTAACCCAACCAAATCAAATTAAAGAGTTCGAGGCTCACCTAATTAGTTCACAGATCGTTACTACCTTATTGAAATAATCCATCTATATATCATATTATATTATTTTAAACTCAAGAATTGTCTATTATTTGTGATTTAAAGTGCAATATGTAAAAAAACAAAAATTAATATTATCCCAAATAAATTCAAATTTTATGGAGATATATCACCTACCTATTGATTATGATGATTTTTTGAATAACCAAAATTCAAAAATTAAGTTCTAAAAATTAAGGGGTTGTCACACTCAGGGTTGGGCAGTATCTTCGATAMAAGTATCGTAGATACGTATCTTAGATACCATTGTATTTTGTATCTTGTATCGCGATACATTTTTAGTCAATGTATCTAGTATTTCATGAAATAATTTATGATGCGATACAAGATACACTACAATTCTGGTTTTATTATCAAACTTATAATTAATAATAAATAATAATATTAATAATTAATGATCCAGAAATTAATATTTTTTATTTAATATTGTAGGTTGTTAGAAATAATTTTTCAACCCAATATCGATAAACCATAAAATATAGTTATATGTGTGATGTATATTGTATGTATCTGTGACACACGCACATTGAATAGGACTTTACGTCTGTACTTTATTACTTATTAGGTATCCATAATTTTGTATAATGGTGTACCTAATAGACAATAGTTACTACGTTATAGTGTATCTTTCACGATAAAGTAGGTAATGACTACGATTGATTTGTTTTATTTTGTTTTATTACTAATGTATTATTATTACTGAATAAGTGTCAATTTTAATTATTTTATTTGTCATTCTARTTACTTAATGAAGTAAGTCCCCATAATTTTTAAAAATCCAATGACTAATTTTATTAAAATGTATCGACTATCGAGTATCGAGTATCTAGTATCGCGATATTCCAAAGCCAAGTATCGAGTATCTAGTATCTCAAAACTCCTTTTTAAGTATCTTGCCCAACCCTGGCTACACTCGCATGTGCTATATCTGACTTATAAAACGTTGAGACATACAACATAGCAACAACTGTTTAACGCATAACCCGCGATGGAAACAGGAAACACTTACGTTGTAGTCCAAGCTTAGCAACGAAATGTTCACAATATCAAGAGTAGCACATATTAATAACTTATTGTGCATAGTTGTTTTWATATTTTCAACATCACAAATACGAAAAAATTCTTATTTTATACCTTCAAATTTATTTTTTCAAAGTTAAATAACATTATATTTTATATTTCTTATACTCATTATTATTACAATTATTGTCTAGGTATTAATTATTGATAGCCAATGGCACACATGTAGATTGGACTAAACTATAAGCAATTTAATAAGTACATGCTTAAGAGAACGTGATACCCACACATGTTGTGTCATCTTTATTACAAGTGCGTCACAAAACAAAAACAAAARCTGTTTAGCACGGGAAGAACCAAGAAGTCTACAGTTATAACTGAGAAACCAAATTTTCACCTCGAACAAAGCAGAACTTTAACTGTGTCACACCGTTCCTTTCGATAAGACYAGTGTATCAAAAGTTATCGAAGTTTGAGAAACTTAAAAATATGAGATTTTTAAACCTAATATAACTTTTTTTTAATAGAGATATCAAACAAATAATGCTACGACACGGAAAATATTATATCTTCTATATTGTGTTAACGTTTGGTGTTTCTACTAAAAGTACAGACTGAGTGGTTTTATATCGCGCTAAACAGTTTTTGCAATATCACGCACTTATAAGACGGAGACAATACATTCGAGAATCACGTCCTCTTATCACATTTTATTTTTTGAGAACTCAAGTATTAGCCCCTTTATTCACAAACATATCAATAAAAATTAGTTATTCTTTGGTACTTTCCAAAATCGTTTTCACATGGATTGTAGTTATTAGCTGGTCTGATTATCACTATTAATATACATTTATATACTACAGCTAATGTATTCAAGGACGCTTGACAGTGGTCCTAGGCCGTGGCGTTGTTATGGAGGGATGATGATGGCGATAGATCCCCCCCAGAGCCTTTTTTAAAAATATTTAATGATTGACTTAAGATTGATATAAGAATATTTGATTATAAAATTACCCATATTATCTTATAAATTATATACCGGGTGATTTTTTTATCATTGAGCACACCTTATTTCAAAAATTACTTATGTTTTTGAAAATATTTTCTTACATAGTCTCAAGTTGTTCAAAAACCAATGTTTTTATTAAAAAAATGTATTTTAAAATATTTTTTATCCTTATCATTTTTAAGTTTTTTACTTTTTTGAATGACAACATGGAGTTTTAATTTCATATTCAAAAGCAGAATATTTTTCTAAGTATTTTGATTCATAGAAATCGAATTTAGGACAATTAGTTTATGAGTTATAAGTATTTAAAGTTTTGATTGGCWGAGTGGAGTGGTACGAGGTTACCCCGCAAAATGTTTGTCGAGTACTCCGCCTGTCAAAAATTTAAATACTTATTACTCATAAACTACTCGTCCTAAATTCGATATTTTTGAATCAAAATACTTAGAAAAATATTCTGCTTTGGAATATGAAATTAAAACTCTATGTTGACATTCAAAAAAGTAAAAAACTTAAAAAATTATAAGGATAAAAAATAT